TGTCCACTGCCTCTTACCCCACGTTTCCTTATGGGGCTTCTTCGAGAAGAAAGTCTATTCAGTCGATTTCCAAACGACTACTGACCCGAAGCAAAACGTTTGAACCGCCATTGTGCCAAGTGGTGCTGGAAATTCTAGCCGAAGGATGGCCATCTCCAAGAATAGCTAACAGGTTTTTGGAGAATATTATCTTTGCGATATCCGTCGTATTTGACGGGTCCTCATCTTCATCTCACAACGTCAACGAGGAGGTTCTTAAGGGAATGGGCTTGAAACTTGTAACTTGTAACTTGAAACTTGAAACTTGAAACTTGTAACTTGTAACTTGAAACTTGAAACTAGAAGCTTGAAACTTGAACCTTGAAACTTGAAACGTGAAACTTGAAACTTGAAACTTGAAACTTGAAACTTGAAACTTATGGGGCTTCTTCAAGAAGAAAGTCTATGCAGTCGATTTCCAAACGACTACTGACCAGAAGCAAAACGTTTGAACCGCCATTGTGCCAAGTGGTTGCTGGAAATTCTAGCCGATGGATGGCCATCTCCAAGAATAGCTAAGAGGGTTTTTGGAGAATATTATCTTTGAGATATCCGTCGTATTTGACGGATCCTCATCTTCATCTCACAACGTCAACGCGGAGGTTCCTCAGGGAATGGGCTTGAAACTTGAAACTTGAACTTGAAACTTGAAACCTGAAACTTGAAACTTGAAACTAGCAACTTGAAACTTGAAACTTGAAACTAGCAACTTGAAACTTGAAACTTGAAACTAGCAACTTGAAACTTGAAACTTGAAACTAGCAACTTGAAACTTGAAACTAGCAACTTGAAACTTGAAACTTGAAACTTGACACTTGAAACTTGAAACTTATGGGGCTTCTTCAAGAAGAAAGTCTATGCAGTTCGATTTCCAAACGACTACTGACCAGAAGCAAAACGTTTGAACCGCCATTGTGCCAAGTGGTTGCTGGAAATTCTAGCCGATGGATGGCCATCTCCAAGAATAGCTAAGAGGGTTTTTGGAGAATATTATCTTTGAGATATCCGTCGTATTTGACGGATCCTCATCTTCATCTCACAACGTCAACGCGGAGGTTCCTCAGGGAATGGGCTTGAAACTTGAAACTTGAACTTGAAACTTGAAACCTGAAACTTGAAACTTGAAACTTGAAACTAGCAACTTGAAACTTGAAACTTGAAACTAGCAACTTGAAACTTGAAACTTGAAACTAGCAACTTGAAACTTGAAACTTGAAACTTGAAACTTATGGGGCTTCTTCAAGAAGAAAGTCTATGCAGTTCGATTTCCAAACGACTACTGACCAGAAGCAAAACGTTTGAACCGCCATTGTGCCAAGTGGTTGCTGGAAATTCTAGCCGATGGATGGCCATCTCCAAGAATAGCTAAGAGGGTTTTTGGAGAATATTATCTTTGAGATATCCGTCGTATTTGACGGATCCTCATCTTCATCTCACAACGTCAACGCGGAGGTTCCTCAGGGAATGGGCTTGAAACTTGAAACTTGAACTTGAAACTTGAAACCTGAAACTTGAAACTTGAAACTAGCAACTTGAAACTTGAAACTTGAAACTAGCAACTTGAAACTTGAAACTTGAAACTAGCAACTTGAATCTTGAAACTTGAAACTTGACACTTGAAACTTGAAACTTGAAACTTGAAACTTGAAACTTATGGGGCTTCTTCAAGAAGAAAGTCTATGCAGTCGATTTCCAAACGACTACTGACCAGAAGCAAAACGTTTGAACCGCCGTTGTGCCAAGTGGTTGCTGGAAATTCTAGCCGATGGATGGCCATCTCCAAGAATAGCTAAGAGGGTTTTTGGAGAATATTATCTTTGAGATATCCGTCGTATTTGACGGGTCCTCATCTTCATCTCACAACGTCAACGCGGAGGTTCCTCAGGGAATGGGCTTGAAACTTGAAACTAGAAACTTGAACTTGAAACCTGAAACCTGGAACCTGAAAGTTGAAACTTGAAACTTGAAACTAGCAACTTGAAACTTGAAACTTGAAACTTGAACCTTGAAACTTGAAACTGGAAACTTGAAACTTGGAACTTGGAACTTGAAACTGGAAACTTGAAACTTGAAACTTGAAACTTGAAACTTGAAACTTATGGGGCTTCTTCAAGAAGAAAGTCTATGCAGTCGATTTCCAAACGACTACTGACCCGGAGCAAAACGTTTGCATCGCCATTGTGCCAAGTGGCTGCTGGAAATTCTAGCCGACGGATGGCCATCTCCAAGAATAGCTAAGAGGGTTTTTGGAAAATATTATCTTAGAGATATCCGTCGAATTTGACGGGTCCTCATCTTCATCTCACAACGTCCACGCGGATGTTCCTCAGGGCATGGTCCTGGTTCCTCGTACATATCAATGATCTTGTTTCTCGTACGATCAATCCGATCCACAGCTCTACTGTTGACAGCGCTCTACATGCAGGAATTCAGTGTGACAGTACGATATCTGCCAGTGAGCTGACTGAGCGATATTATTGTATAAAAATTTTTAGTTTTATCAGAAAACATTTACATTATATAAAGCTTTATTTCCAGTAATTGTACAATAGTGATGCGTTTAGGCGTTATTAACTGTAAGATGCCTAAATATTAATCCTGCAACAAATTATGTTTGTAGATATTAGATTCTATTCAAAGCTAAACACCGCGCAAGTGGAAATTCTCGTAATATCTCTCTTTAAAAACTCGTCGAAAGCTGTGTACAAAAGCACGATAAAAAAGTCTTTAACGTAAAACATTACAGGTAGATAACCCTGGAGCTTATCTACATGAAAGTTAACACCGCCCGTTGGGGAAATAATGGAATATAACCAACCATGTTGCCACAATAAACCCTTAGACGAGTTAATTATATTCACGTTCCCAGTTTCATGTCCTTTTTCGCTTTTTCCTATATTTGTATTATCTCGGAATACGTTAACACTTAAATAGAAAGGTAATTGGGAAAAATATAGTAGAAGCTGATTGGAATGTTTTTTGAACGTAGAACGCTTCCACCGGCGCTGGTTCTTACTGTCCACGATGAGATTTGCTTATGAAAAAATCATATAGAAAAATAGGAGTAACTCCTGAACGACTTGAGACATTGTCATTGAAAGATCGATTTAGGGATTTGCAGATCAAAATCCTCCATCTGATACCACATTCGGGCGTACCCCGTTACTTTCGGTTCCTTGCGCGCCCGTGTACCCGCTTTCCTAACTTTTGAATAGACGAAAAATCGATTTTTATCATAGTCAAAAACTGTCTCAACAGACAAGAGTTCGAGAAAGAGTTAAATAAAAAGCAGTAAATCATCATTTTTGAAAATCAAGGACGGTCGAAAACAGTTCTTGGGTAGCCTGTATAAATATTTCGGACTGACGAAGCTATTCGTCCCTCTCAAATATACACCTCCACCACGGATCAAAACAGTTTGACCTACAAACAACCACGCAACTTCCGAACAGTTCGCGTCCGTTAATATTCCACTCCGAATCTCACATAGCATATTCATGGATGATGAATGCACCTCCGGATCTCTGTATGCCCCTTATTTATTCTGGAGGCCTCTCAAAACAAATTGCCCTGCCTTCACTCACGTTTAAACGTAAACAGCGAGGAAGACCCTTTTATTTTATTTGTTGTACTTTGAAGTTTGCTGCAAAAAGAGAATGTAAGTTCAGGTATACCTATGTGAGAGCCATTGCAGACCTTAGAAGCATGATCGAAATCATATTAAAAATAACATTGTAAAATCGCCCCGTTTTCCTCCGCATACAGTAGGTTGAGTTCATGATTCAACTTCCACCCCTTTGCCACGCTCGTAAAAATCGCTGGCTGCGCCTGTTGCATCCAGTTTTCTTTAACGGGAGCCTCCTGCATATCTTCGTTACCTCTCCTCGTCTCTTAAACCTTCCCTTAGTAATGGAAATCTGCCTATTTAACTTCTCCCCATCGTTGTAACCGCTAACTACCCCTGATAATACTGCATAATTTGCTACCAAAACCTTCTCTAACTTTCAACTGCTTTTTCTTCTTCATGTTCTCTTCTTTTGCTCTCTGCTGCACCCAATATTTCTCTTCTATTACAACCACACCGCTCGCTAACTTCATATTCACTTTCCCTTTCAAGCTTTTTTCACTTTGCACCAGCAGCCTTACGTTGCCTTTGATCTCCGTTATCACCATCATCTCAAACCCTTCCTGCGTTTTCTCCGTCGTCGTTCACTTATGATTGACGACTCTCTCTTCCACTCTGCCAGTATTAGTACTAAATTTTTTGACCTTGAGACCCCTCTTCACAGCGAAATAAGAGCCTGTGACTCTCATATTAAAAACTGTAGCAAGATGTTGTAAAAAATAATGTAATAACCATTTGGTCTATCTGCGAATTATTTCAATGACTACTTTGTAGAAAATTACAGATAAAATTTCAATCAATTGTCTTTTCCTCAAAGTCTAAGTATTGTTAAAGTGGTACCAATACACAAAAAAGTTAGTCTGGACGATGTGAAAAACTTTCGACCGATATCATTGCTAAAAGTTTTGGATCTATTTTGAATAAGCAGCCAGTTAGCTACTTTGGGAGCAATTGCTTGTTAAATAAATGCCAATTTAAGGTAAACGTCGCTATGGCAACTTTTGACTGTATTTTCCATATTTTACTGTCCAGATATGGTTTTGATAGTAACGAGTATGTCCTTTCTAAATCCGACCTCATGCAATGCAGGGTTTTCGAAGCTTGCTACAATCTGCAAAGAATGAAATGTATGTTTCTATATCTGACATGTAAACAAGGAATAGAAGTTGTCCAAGTACAGAACCTTGTGGAACACCACTCGGCAGCGGGTGTGACTCGCTTAGAACTCAATTTGCTTTCACTTGGAAGGTTCTTTTTGTAAGAAATGCCTCTATTCAACCTAAACGCTTACCTCGTACACCGAAATGTAGCAATACAAGTAGCATGTAGTACTCACCGATAACAAACAAGTAGGCCGATTCCATGATAGTATAGAAGTTGGGAGCATCAGACGATACTTCACATTTGTATTTTCCAGTTGCTTCTGGTTGAACGTTCCTCAGAACTACCTCGTACGGATTACTCTTGCTTCTCTGTAACAATTTTAATGGATGTTTTATTTTATTGGATGATGTAATAAGAAAAAGCATGTGCTACTTGCTAACGTTTTCTAAAACTGGACCATATTCTTTAGACCTCGCAATGTCATACGAAATAAGTAAACAGATTATAGCAGCTGCTACTCGCTCGTGGAGACGCACATGAATTGGGCGCAGAGGGTTGTTGTTTGAATGCAGTTGTTGAAAATACTCCAACAAATTTAACACTGTCTATCCATATTGTAGTTGTATTTTGAAGCATTGCTACGTCTTACATCAAAGAGCAACAAAAAGTAAGCTCAAATCGCTCGCCAATGAAGAGCAAGTTGTCATACTGACAGTGACAAGCATAAATGTGGAAGACATGTCTTAACGAGATAAATTTCATTGCACTGAGAAACTTGTAACTTGAAACTTGAAACTTAAAACTTAAAACTTAAAACTTAAAACTTAAAACTTGAAATTTGAAACTTCAAACTTGAAACCTGAAATTTGAAACTTAAAGCTTTAAGCTTGAATCTTGACACTTGCAGCTTGAAACTTGAAACTTGAAACTAGAAACTTGAAACTTGAAACTTGAAACTTGAAATTTGAAACTTGAAACCTGAAATTTGAAACTCGAAACTTAAAGCTTTAAGTTTGAAACTTGAATCTTGACACTTGCAGCTTGAAACTTGAAACTCAAAACTTAAAGCTTGAAACTTGAATCTTGACACTTACAGCTTGAAACTTGAAACCAGAAACTTGAAACTTGAAACTTATAACTTGAAACTTGAAACTTGAAATTTGAAACTAGAAACTAGAAACTTGAAACTTGAAACTGGAAACTTGAACCTTGAAACCGGAAACTGGAAACTTGAAACTTGAAACATGAAACTTGAAACTTGAAACTTGAAACTTGAAACTCGAAACTTGAAACTTGAAATTTGAAACTTAACGCTTTAAGCTTGAAACTTGAATCTTGACACTTGCAGCTTGAAACTTGAAACTTGAAATTTGAAACTTAAAACTTGAAACTTGAAATTTGAAACTCGAAACTTAAATCTTTAAGTTTGAAACTTGAATCTTGACACTTGCAGCTTGAAACTTGAAACTTGAAGCTTGAAATTTGGAACTTAAAACTTGAAACCTGAAATTTGAAACTTGAAACTTAAAGCTTTAAGCTTGAAACTTGAATCAAGACACTTGCAGCTTGAAACTTGAAACTGGAAACTAGAAACTTGAAACTAGAAACTTGAAACTAGAACCTTGAAACTAGAAACTTGAAACTAGAAACTTGAAATTTGAAACTTAAAACTTGAAATTTGAAACTCGAAACTTAAAGCTTTAAGCGTGAAACTTGAATCTTGACACTTACAGCTTGAAACTTGAAACTTGAAACTAGAAACTAGAAACTTGAAATTTGAAACTTGAAACTGGAAACTTGAAACTGGAAACTTGAAACTTGAAACTTGAAACTTGAAACTCGAAACTCGAAACTTGAAACTTGAATTTGATTCAACTACGCACCTTGTTATGTATAAAAGTGAGTATAAGAACTCAGTTCAAACCATCAGCCGTTTCTTTTAATCGTTTATATTAGAGAAAACAATGTCCGACATTTAATCACAACACTTGTGCATCAAAACCGATTCGTCATTCGGTGCTTATTACAAATGCAATAACGGGATAAACTACATTCGTTCTGACTTTTTGGTATACACTTCTCTATTTTCAGAAATACTCTCGAATTATTGAAATGTCATTATTGGAAATGCGGTACAAATTGAAGCGGAATTTGTTGAACATAACGTATTATGGGATACTGCACACTGGATACAAATTTTAATTAAACAAAAAGCAAAACGATACAGTGCGAAGCTGTCGATAATCGAACTGTTGTTTTATTTATATGCCTCGGTCGTATCGTGAAATTGAACATCTCGTGAGGTGATCGAGCATTTCATGAAATGTATCATTGATCATTGGACTGATCATGATGTGCATTCACCAGATCAATGATAACAAATCATTTAACGACATAGTCAACGGCTATTTGTTGAGATAGACGATCAAATTTTCATTCTACTACAACTGAGAGACCAGGTATAGCATAATATCAATTATTTGAACCTAGTATTAGTCAACAAGGTATGTAGTACGAGGGAGAATATTGATTTTTACCACTTCCAAATCTAAATAAAGAAGCAATAAATTTAAAAAAAGTCTGAAAAAGAATAATATAAAAATTTTGCTGTTCTCATTTAGAGCAAATGTCATTCTAGGGCCATCTGGAGTGAAAATTCTTATAACGTGAGACCTTTTTGACCGTAAAGATAGCCAGCAATTGACCAGCTTCCGCAAGAAATTAGAATTTTTGGAAAATTATCTGGTAGATGAGGACATCTAGCATGAATTTTCCAGGCTTAAGTAAGAATTTGAGCGAAGATGGCATAAATTTCGGGTATCACTTTTTAAAAGCTGTATCATTTCCAGTAATAGAAATTGCACTGTTTCTAATTGGACCGCTTTCAGAAGGAGCTGCAGAGGCTTCGAACAAATACTTGAACCTATACCGAACACTTGAAACTTGAAACTTGACCCTTGAAACTTGACCCCTAAAACTTGAAACTTGACCCCTAAAACTTGAAACACTTGAAACTTGAAACACTTGAAACTTGAAACACTTGAAACTTGAAATTGGAAACTTGACACTTGAAACTTGAAACTTGAAACTTAAAACTCGAAACTCGAAACTCCAAACTCGAAACTTGAAACTCGATACTCGAAGCCAGAAGCTCGGAACTCGGAAATCAAAAATCAAAACTCGAAACTTGAAACTCGAAGCTAGAAACTCGGAACTCGGAAATCAAAAATCGAAACTCGAAACTTGAAACGTGAAGCTTGAAACTTGAAACGTGAAGCTTAAAACTTGAAACTTGGAACTTGCAACTTGCAATTTTACATTGTCATTGCCTACTTATCTTTTTCAATTGTAATTTTTAATATTCTTATATAACAAACATTTTTTTTTTATTTGACATGTCACATGTATTAATTTACTAAAATAAGATCAACGAATATCTATCGTATTTTTTTGCTACACAATTGCACTACATCGTTATTTCCAAGAAGCAAACCGTGATATATTCTGGCTCCACTCCAAAGCAACACCTACTTCGACCAGTGAACGAGTGAATTGAAGAATAACAATGCGTCTAAGTCTCAAACAGAACCGCTGCCGACATCCTAACTCAGCAAAGTAAATTCTCTCCGACGCTAAATTATGTTCACCATAATTCCAACGGAAATGTTTTGCTGCATTGTTGTGTTTCTTGTTTATCTGCCTGGAATGTATTACATTGTAACGCCAGTTTTATGTAACGTGTAAAGAAGTTTTGCGGTGGGGATTACATCTCGGGGAGCGAGCTGCGGCTGGAATTATGTGGCAAATACTGGGTCGCGGAAACCGCTGACATCAGCCGATGGTACAGAACGCTCGTTTAATGTCTCTTTATTATAACATTGCACCGCGCAGAATGAAGTTGAAATAATTTATTATTCTTTCATCTTTTCTGTGATGTCAGCAGGGTATCGTCAGTTTTTTTTATTTGTAATTTCCACATGATACTTGTATTTTATATAAACTGGATACTTACGTCAACGTTTATTCCTGGCAGCGCAAATACCTGCGTGTTGGGCATTTCTTTGGGTATGTACCGATAGAACTCCTTGCCGCCCTTGTACCATTTCAACGTATACAGAGGTTCGCCCTCAAGGTCAAACCGACACTGAAGGGTTATCGTGTCCATCACACGTACGGCCGTTGGAATCGTAACGGACACATCTTTCAGAGCTGAGCCTCCGCCTGCAAAGAAAATGAACATATTAGAATCAGAATCAAATGTGTGACTAGAGGCCGTCTTCGCGATACAAAATTTTGTTCATAATTTGGTGAAAAGTTTTTCGAGAAAATGCGTTACTGAATTTAGTCCCCAATTTGTTTACGAATTACAATCCTCTCTGTCAAGTGAAGAAATTTTTGTGATAAATTTCTTACGAAATCGAACATCACTGTACGACGTACATAGGTTCAAAAATAAAATGAGAGTTTCTAGGCCAGGTGCTGGAGAGGAGGAAGGTGGGAGGGCGCGGTGAGCCGCTTTTCTTCGCCGCGTGCGCTTTGGCCGAAAACGGGGACACTACACCTGTTCTATTTACGAGACGAGGCCGAAACATAATTACATATTTTTACCTTATTTATATATATAGATCCTTTAATTTCTTTGGGTAGAAGCCAAGTATTGCAAAAGTACACTCTTATAACTGAAACGCTCAAGCTTTCGAAGATCTATGTCTTCATCGTCTAGAGCTGGAAAATTGTTTTTATATTTTTATGTGGAAATAAAGACGTAATAATAATGAAAATATGTGTGGTTTGATTGGCCAACCATGAGCGATTATCGAAATGAAAGCCACAGGATAAGTTTCAGATGTTACTTGTCAAAATCACAACGAATTTGTAAGCTAAACGAATGTTTTGAATAGCGTTCCGAATTATTTATTGTATCAAATCGTGTCAATAAATGTTTCAACATGCGATATCATCGCTCTATTCGAATATCGAAAATTTCGCTTTGTCGCTAACGAAATTAGCTCATCAAATATTTACGACGACTGATTGGTCGAATGCACGTTGTAGTACACATTCATTTGTGATCAAATTGTTATCCATCCATAAGGCTGAAAGAAATTGTTCGCAGTTATTGCGAAATTGGAACTTGGGGTTGTATGTATACTAAGTGACGTATAAATCCGAACACCCAGTTTAAATGGTTTTATTTTAATAAAAGTTGGTGAATGTATTTATCTTACTGTAAATAACAAGTGAAAAAATTTTCAGTCTTATCAGTTGGACATTCCGGTTTTTATACTGCTTTCTTTATAATTCACGAACGCTCTCAAAATGAATATTTCAGCCGCAGTAAAGAATCAACGTTGGCGGATTTTGGTTCTTGACATCCTTTACGATGTCTAGAGTACGGAGACCTGTACGATTTCGTCAACTTAGTGAGTTTGATAGGGGCCGTATAGTGGGACTTCGGGAAGCTGGACTTTCTTTTCGGGCAATTGCAGTTAGAGTGCAAAGAAGTGTAGACACTGTGGTTAGGTGTTGTCAGGCATGGCTTCGAGAAGGCCGTACGCAAAGAGCAAGGGGCACTGGACGCCGCCGTAGAACAACAGACCGTGAAGATCGCCGCCTAAGATTATTGGCCTTAAGGGACCGTTTCTCCACTACCAGGTCCATTGCAAATGAATGGTTTGCAGAACACGGAAGACCTATTGGCATGCGAAGTGTTTACCGACGAATGAGAAGTTTTGGCTTGTTTTCATACCGGCCACACTGGGTCCTCCCTTTAACTCGAGAACACCGACGTAATCGCCTTGAGTGGTGCAGAAAACGGTCACTCTGGGATCAGGAATGGAACAGTATTGTCTTTAGTGACGAGTCTCGATTTTGTTTAGGCATGCACGATGGTCGTGCCAGGGTTAGAAGGCGACGTGGTGAAAGGAGGAATCCACAGTTTTTTGTTGAAAGACATGTTCATCCCACTGTTGGAGTTATGGTTTGGGGTTCTATAGCTTATGGTTCCAGGTCACCTTTAATCTTCATCAGAGGTAACATGAACGCGCAGCGTTATATCCACGAAGTTCTAGAACCCCATCTTTTACCCTATCTTGACACCCTGGCAGATCCAACTTTCCAACAAGATAATGCCCGACCACATGTTGCAAGAGTCACAATAGACTTCTTTCAACATAATGATGTCACATTGTTACCATGGCCACCAAGATCTCCCAACTTATCCCCAATTGAGCACGTATGGGATATGATGGGTAGGAGATTGCTCAATTTGCAACGTCCTCCTCAGACTCTAGAAGCACTTCGAGAGGAGTTGGTGGTTGCCTGGAATGAGATACCACAGGAGGACATTGACCACCTGATCAGAAGCATGCCTAGGCGCGTTGGAGAATGCGTAGCACATCAGGGTGCATCCACACATTATTAAAGGTGAAAGGGCTTTAAAGCAGTGCAATCATTTTGAAATTTTTATCATTTACTTATTATGCTTCATTAAGTACTTATACAAAATTTTATTAAAATAAAACCATTTAAACTGGGTGTTCGGATTTATATGTCACTTAGTATATTTATCATGAAGCGTAGTTTTTGGCAACGGTTTGTGCGTTTGCGAATTTAATTAGCTGATGGTGTTTGATGTTAATCAAGCGTTACAAAAACATGTATGGTATAAGTTTGGAGTGTTGCTATTGGTTCAAACACATTGCAGAATATATATACGAAAAATGTACAGTTTGATGTGATACCTTTTCTGAGTCGCAAAGTATCGTATTCAGAGCTGCTAGACTAAAATTCATGGTCAATGTTCTGTGTAAGTTCCTATAATTTCAGAAGCCAAATATTTCAAAGCTGCACGTTGCACCCTCAATATAGAGGGTGTTGATCAAATGTGTACCATCAATTTAGTGAATAAATAAACAGTTCAAATTGAAGGAGTTGTTTTAAGTTCTTAAAATGTTAGTATACAAAATTCCTGTTGATAGTCAATAGTATTTACGGAGCAGTATCATCAGAAACACCGTACTTAGAAAGTTTGAACAACAGTTTCTTATCAGAAATCTTGTAAAAAGCCTTCATAAGAACAGTTTTACTTTCAAGACTGTTGGGCGAATATTTCCTCTGGCTCTCCCCACAGATATCTGTACAACAAAAGCTGTGGTAAAAGTTATCCTCCTTCACGTGCCGGCGTTCTCGAATGTTCTAAGCACCGTCGATGCACATAGCTGCCAGAAGCATTCCTCGGTCATGTAACTAAACCGAACTGCTCTTCCTTTGTGTCGGGGCTGCAAAGCGCTGGAGGTGATGAAACACAAAACTGGCGGTCCGTTATTGCTTAATTTGCCTCACGTCATGGCTTCTTGATTATAATACTTTCCCGTTTTATGTTACTTGGTTAATTTTCCATTGTGCAGAAAAGTAGTCGTGTATCGCTCGTTACTGTACCTCAGCCTGCTCTGAATAATTTCCGATTCCTCAGTTTCTGCTAAGGTCTGGTTCGGTATTTTCATTGCTGAAAACTCAAAGCATGGCAACTATCTTCTATCCTCGAAATAAGACTGCGCTGTGTATTATATAATTCGAATGCACCGGTAGTTCAAATGTACCAGTAGCGTACTAGTATTTCAAATGACCAGTAGTTCAAAAGACCTGTTGTTTAAATGACCGGTAGTTCAAGTGACCAGTTGTATAAAAGACCAGTAGTTCAAATGTGCCAGTAGCTCAACGGTGTCAGTAGTTTCGTTAGGTTTGTCCCACTATTTTTCGTTAGCAATAAGGATAGGAACAAACTACTAACAAGGCTCTCTTGATTTTGCCTATCAAAGATAGTAACAAGAACCTAAAATACAAGGTGAAACATACATTCCAGTGGTTGGAGTGATCAATATGATCATGGAATTGATTTTCGGATATGCCCTGAAATGTGATGACAGTTTTGTTCATCTAAAATCATTAGTAGGCCAGCGTATTGGAATAGCTGTATTTCTTTCCAACAAGCTTAAAGTCAGTTATTGAAACGTTGAACAACAATTCGACCAAAACCATATGCACAAACATGCAGGCAAATAATAAGGATGGCCCAAGCTAGTTGAATCTGTACTAAATGTACTTCTATGGAAATGCAAGGATATTTACAATAGGAAGAATGGAATGAGACTGACAGATAACTGCCATATGCCTTAGGTGGTTTATTTGCTATCCAGAATGTAATCGTATACACCAGCTAAAATGCTGACAACTTGAAACAAGTATAGATATAATGCTTTCATATTTATATCATAAGTTTACGTTATTGTATATATTTTTTATATATATTTCGTGGAAAGATGAATCCTTGTCAGATGGACAGTAACTCAGTGGGGTAAGGAAAGAATTGTCTATGAACTGTCATTTTTTATTATTATATGTTATCTTTCACTTTATACCTTATCTATTTTTTTTATCTTATTGTTTTTGTTTGTTCTTACAACGAATCCGTATTCTTACAAAACATTGTTTGCTAGTGTAATTGCAATAAATAGTCCGTTTCCACCCCTCATCAACTTTGATATCAGAATATCTGATGGAACCTATTCTAAGCTACATGGCTGTTGTTTTTTTGCTTAAGCCGATCATCGCCACACGCACAATAAAAGTGTGAAATGTCAATTAGTCAACAAAATGTCCAGCGCTCAATCACGTTTCGTACCGTCGATCCCGCGGCTGCCAATCACACGTCTACGTCTCGTAAACTAAAAATCTCTACCAACACAAATTGTTTGCGGCGGAGATGGGAAGGGGTCGAAACAGGGCCGTACTGTATCTGGAAACCAAGAAAATTAAAAATAGTGCAAAACTCGTATTCGACGTGTTTTGACATAGGTCATTACTGAGCCGTTGGAGAATTACAGCTCCCCATGCAGCTTTACACGTGATTATTAGGAGGTTTCTTACACCAAAGCAGCTTGCCCTGAGGAATTCCTGAAGTAGCTATTTAGTTATTAGACTTGAAACCACCATATTTCACAAAGAGTATTCTGTCCGAAATTTATGAGTGGAGTAGCGAAAGTAGATTTTTAGAAAATCTAAAGTCCAATCATTGATGCAGTAATTGCATTACTTTTTCCAAAACCAATCTCCTTTACACTGATGCTTGATACATTGAATCTTGAATCCTTAATCCTTAATTCTGAATCCTGCATCCTAAATCTTGAATATGGAATCTCGAATCTTGAATCGCGAATTTCGAATCCTGAATCGTGTGTCCTGAATCCTGAATCCCAAATCCTAAATCCTGAATCCTGAATCTCGGATCTCGAACCTCGGTTCTCGAATCTCGAATCCCAGATCTCGAAACTCTAATATTCAATATCGAATCTTGTAGCACCAATGAAAAATACGTTATCACGCAGTAGATAATTGTATTATGCATTATCGTCAGTACATTATTCTTGTGGGTCCAACA